GGGAGGGGGAGGGAAGGGGAAGGGGAGGGGGAGGGGGAGGGGGAGGGAAGGGGAGGGGAGGGGGAGGGGGAGGGGGAGGGAAGGGGAAGGGAAGGGTGTCTCAGTGTAGTGCAGCAGGACTGCATCCACACTGAAGACTAATGGTGGGCAGGGTGGCAACTGCCTGTCTTGTTCCTCCATAGGCCTAGCCACCTGCCTCCATCACTGCCCGTGTCCCGTGTGCCGGTTTTACTCACAGCCTGGATTCATCGCTCAGAAATGATTTCTAGGGTGCTGGGGGTAGCGCTTTAGTGGCACAGTGTATGCTTAGAATGTTCAAGGTTTTAAGTTCAATGCCCAACACCTCCCACCAAAAAAAAAAAAAAAAAAAAAAGGTTTGCTATAAGCATTTATTCATGGGGGCTGGAGAAATGGCTCAGTGGTTAAGAGCACTGATTACTCTTCCAGAGGTCCTGAGTTCAATTCCCAGTACCCACATGGTGGCTCACAACCATCTGTAATGGGATCAGATGCCCTCTTCTGGTGTGTCTGAAGACAGCTACAATCTACTCACATATAAATAAATCATAAGAAAAAAAAATAAAGAATTCATTCACACAAGCTATCCAGACCTAGATCTGAATGAAAATCAGCACAATAAGTCAAGCCTGATAACAGGAAAAACAAAACAAAAACATCTGTGTATTAGAAAAAAATTAGTAATGCACAAAGGAAATTTCTTTTTCATTTTTAAAATGTTTATTAGCGCATTTCAGCCGTACAGGATAACGGTTTGTATCACGGCATCTTTCTATGTGCATGATTTTGGCCACGTTCATCCCACCTTACCTGCCGCCCACTCTCACTCCTACCCATCCCCCTTCTTCCCAGCTAGTTCCCATCCTGCTCTTCTGATTTCACATCTTTTTAAGAGGAAGGGGAAGATCAAGTTTAACTGGGATTATTTCTCCTTTCCTCAGCTACCATTAACTGCCTAAGCTGGGTGAGGCCTTGTAAGCGCCCCACAAAGACTTTTCATACCTAAGCATTTGACGTCTCCAACCGCATAAGCAGAAGCAGCTCTGGGTTTGTTGGTGACCAGGGCAAGTTCTCCAAAGTACTGCCCCTTATGGCAGTGGGCGATCTCCACCTCCTGGTTCCCACCATTCCTGTTCGATTTAGTCTGTAACAGATAAAGACTATGATCCTGGCTCTAAGGTCACAGCTGGACATGTTGCACTTACTCAAATTCCTTTTTCAGAAAGTTCAACAAAATTACTGGGGAATTCACATTACAGAAACTCTTTAACTGGACCCTGTAAACTCACAGATAAATCTTTGAAGGGTTGTTTTACCTGGGGCTCCACCTAGGCCCTCACACAGGTTAAGTCAAGGCTAAACATCTAACATCTTCTGTAGAGATGACACATTCTGGGAGATGTGACCAAAGTGCAGCTGAAGCCCAACAAGGGCTTCTGCTAATTCTTCTGTTAGTCATGAGCCAAAGCACAAGAGCACGGGTTGGTTCGAGGCAGTCTTGGAAGGGCCATTGATGACAACATTTCTTTTAAAGTACTTTCTTCACTTACACCAGAGCTGCGCCTCAATTCTTAACAAGTTAACTACATCCTTCAAACAAATAAATGCACTATGTTGTATTGCTACACTGGGTTTCTTATTTCTTATCAATCCACCTGCTAAGTAAGGCATTAACAACAAATTATGAGAATCAGTCTCTGTCTCTAAGAACCACAAATGTTAAAAGCAGAAACAAAACCCCTCCCCTGACTGGTAAGATAGAGTCTCACTTTCTGGCTCTGGCTAGCCTGGGACTAGTTAGGCCTGCCTTGAGTGCTGGGATTACAGGTGTGTGCTACCATGCCTGGCTAATCCTTTGTTACTTTATGTGTATGTGTGTGTGTGTGTGTGTGTGCGCACGCATGCAGATGTCCATGAAATCCAGAAATGTGTTAGATTCCTTGGAGCTGGAGTTACAGGAAGCTGTGAGCTGCACCAAACACGCTGTGAGTGCTGGGAACCAGACCTGGGTCCTCTGGAAAGCAGCACATATTCTTTAACTGCTACCTTTCCAGCCCCTTAAAGGGTATATACTATATGTGAGCTTACTTACAGATTTTATGTGTATATGTGTGAACCTGCTTGCTTGTATGTATGTATGTGCAGGTGACAATGGGATCCAGAGCCTCGGAACTGGAGTTCCAGGTGACTGGGATCTACCTTGATATGAGTGTTGGGAACTGAACCTGGGAACTCTCTGCAAGTGGAACTTAATCACTGAACCATTACTCCAGGCCCTTAAAGGGATTTTTTAACTGTTATTTTATGTGTGTTTTGCTTACATGTGTTGTCTGTGCACCCAAATGGTGGAGGCTGGAAAAGAATGTCATATCTCCTAGAACTGGAGTCACAGACAGTGATGAGTGGCCACTGCTCTCAACTGCTGATCTATCCCTCTAGCCCCTCAAAGGAATTAATTAATTAGTTTATTTTTGGTTTTCCAAGACAGGGTTTCTTTGTGTAATCCTGGGTGTTCTGGTACTTGCTCTATAGACCTTGAACTCAAGAGATCTGTCTGCCTCTGCCTCCCGAGTGCTGGGACTAAAGGAGTGTGCTGCCACTACCCAGCTCTTGAAGGGAATGTGTGTCCAGTGAAGGCATGTGTACCTGTGTGTGCTAGTGCTATGTTCCTATGCATGCACACATGATCACAAGAGTGGGTGCCTGCTACCCTCTTTATCTCTTTCCCAGGCCTTTCCTGAAGCAGGGCCCAATTACGACCCAGGCTGGAGGCTAACCAGCCTCAACCATCCTCCTACATCTGCCGGTCCTGGAGCTGGGACCACAGGTGTTTTAGAGGGTGTGTGGCTGGTTAGGTAGGTGCTAGGATTCAATCTGGTCCTCATGCCTATAGAACAACTGCTCTTAACTCTGGAGCCATTTCTCTTGCCCCAATTCTTTCTTTAAACATTTTTTTATGTTCACTTATTTTGTGTGCTATATGTGTTTAGGCACGCACATACTACAGCACTGGTGTACCATACCACAGTCTGGGGACAATTTTTGAGAATCAGTTCTCTCTATTTTGTGGATTCTGAGGATCTAACCCAGGTTGTCAGGCTTTGGAGCAATCACCCTTCCCACTAAGCCTCCTCGCTGGACTCTGTTGTTGGTGTTATTGTTCTTTAAAGCACTATGTCTTTAAGTGTTTGTATGTGGGCTTGTGCATATGAATGCAAGTGTTCAGAGAAAAGAGAGAAGGACGGAGTCCCTGGAGCTGCTATGTGGGTGCCGAGAGACAACTCAGAACCTCTGCAAGAGCACTATGCTTTCCTAATGGTGAAAACATCGCTCCAGCCCCGCCTTCTTTATTGTCTTTAAATGTAAACTTAAGCACTGACATCTAGTTTACACCTTTAGTCTTGTCATCCCTCCACACTTCAGCCTTGACCTGTTAGCTCCAAAGCTGGTCTGCTGCTCCATGTGAACCAATGTACTCTTTCATAAGTATGTATGTATGTATGTATGTATGTATGTATGTACATACAGGCAGGGTTTTGTGGAGCAGGAGCTCACTATGTAGTCCAAACTGTTCTTCATTTCATTGTCTTCCTGCCCCTACATCTTCCCTACCTATAGCTTAAATGTTCCGACTAGATTTAATATATACATATATTTTACTATTTCAACGAATTTATATACTCAAAAAAAAAGAAAATTTTGTTATGATGGATTTATTGGTAAGAATAACTCCTTGAAGGTTGAGTGTGTAGCTCAGCTGGTATAATGCTTGCCTAGAAGTCACAAAGCCATCGGTTTGATCTCCAGCATCAGATAAAACTGGGTAAGGGGGTACGTGCCTACAATCATGAGCACTTGGGAGGCGGAGTCAAGGGATTGAAACTTTTCAACGTCACTTCAGTTATATCCATGGTTATGTTTGAAGCCAGCCTGGGCTCCATGAGGGAAGGGGGGGAAAG